AGATTTAATACCATGCTTTTGGTTTTAATATTAATAATCCTTCATTTTCCTTGGATGTGATTGAATAGAGGAATCAATACCATATTATGACACTACAAATTATGTAAATTAATTTATTTAGCACGCAAAGTCCTTCTATGTTGAATTATTATATATGTATCTATCTCAACAGTAATGTGATCTATTTAAAATTAATTGGTACACAAATATGCATGTACCGGTAACACAAATATGCCGCCGGCCAAATGATCGACATAACCTGGCACAGATTTCTTGCTTGCGTTTTAGTATCAAAAGAGACCTAAATCATTAAGGTATTTGATTATTATATAAATCAATTACATGTGATTATATAACTAAACACTTAATATATATTTATTTATTTTTACTTATATATTATAATAATTATAAATTTAAGATAGATAAATAGCTCTAATTATTTGATAGTTTATAATAAAATTTGTAAAGACCAATATTATACCTCTACAAACAAAGCTATAAAGTTTTTTCTTTTCTGAATACGAAAAAAATTATTTTCTTTAAGAGAAAAAAAAAATTTTTAATTTAGCTTCTTTTCAAAAAACAAACCTTACGGCTTTGTTTGTAGAAACATAATATTTATTTTTACGAAATTTTATCTGAAACTATCAAACTATTAAGATTGTGCATTATTTTAATTGGCAATTATAAAACTTATTATATAGCCATATAGTTATATAACAAAGAATAAGCAAATATTAAAAAAGGTAGTAATTTTAAACTTATCTATATCACGTACAATTTTATTTGGATATATATTATCTAAATTTATACTATATACAAAAATAGATTAGTTGATTTAAAAGAAAGTATGTATATACAGATCATAAATTATTGTCATAATAAAAATAGATAACTTATTTAGGAATAGACCAATGTAGTTATATATTTTGATTAGCTTGAAAAAATTTTTTGCTTTGTCTTATTCAAAAAAGATTAATATTAAAATTTTTTAAAATTTTTAAGTTTGCTCTAACCTTATTTCAATTACTAATGCAGTAATCTAAAAAAATAATTGGCCAATACAATAAAAAAAACTCCCAGCGCATAAGCAGGCACACAACTTGTTTGATTAAAAGTAATTTAGCGTTCACATATATGAACATGTGACATATTCCCTGACTACTATTTGCCAACACTGAATATAAAGTATAACGGCTACGCATACTGATAAGCATATATATATATCTTTATTTAATAAAAAAAAATCATATTTTTTTTTAAAAAAAAAAACAAAGACAAAAGAAAAAATTAAAGTTTGATTCTTTTTCTTTCATTCTTCTCTAATTCATACACATGTTTTTCTAATTTTGAAATACGTTCAATCACTAATAATAATTGTTTTTGGGTGGTTTCTTCTGGACGAAGATACTACAGTATTTATTTGTATAGTAATAACATTAGTATACATATTTATAGAAAAAAATATCAAACATATAATATATTTACAGTGATGGGGCCTTTATTAGAGAACTTATAATACGAAGCTCCAGTAAATTTAACATTGTAATCACCCGGTTCTTCAAACTTTTTACCAAGCATATTATAGTAAAAAGCACCTGCTTCTTCACGGGTAGAAAAATGCACATGTGCAATTCTAAAAAAAAATTAATAAAAATATCTAAAAAATACCTCAACTGTAAAATTGTTGCAATAACTTAATACTTACGTTTCTTTCTGTCTTTTCTGAATGTGAACAAAGGAAAGAGGTGTTTTGGACTTGAGCCACTTCTCGAGTAGTTTAACCATTACGTTTTCAATGTCTTCTGACATTAGAACGGTCAAGTATGGATCAAAGCAACAAGTATGCTGCGTATTTTGTATATTTTCTGTATATATATATACATATAAACAACATTATATATTTTTTCAAAAAAAAAAAAAAAAAAACTCAACAAGCTTCTTTTTTAAAGCTAGTAGTTTAATAATTTTTTATTTTTTTTTTTACTTCAAAGAAGAGGAAAGCATCCCAAAAGGAGAATGAACTCCATAAGGAAAGGAAGAATCAAGGTACTCTGCAAGGAATCGAAAGGAAGAGAATACTCCGCAAGGAGGTTAAGGCACTCCAAAGGAGAAAAAAACAAAGTAAAAATTTCTCTACTTTTCGCCATAACAATCATACAGTTGTTGACAAATAGGGTGGTGGTAATAGCGTCTAAGGAAAAATATAGTTAGATATAAATTTATATCTAAAAA